AGTGAAAGACATAGCTGTCTTCCAGGTTTATAAAAAGTTTCAGCATACCAAGAGTTAGAGACACTTCATCCATAGCTATGGAGAACTGAGATACTTGTTTTATACCAAGAGTTAGAGACACTTCATCCATAGCTATGGAGAACTGAGATACTTGTTTTATACCAAGAGTTAGAGACACTTCATCCATAGCTATGGAGAACTGAGATACTTGTTTTATGCAATCAGAAGGATAAATCTACCTGCAAACTTGAAGTGTAGATTGTTGTTCTTTATCATGTTTAAAATGGTTTTCTTTCAACGAAGAAGTATGGTAATTTGGTCATATACCTTTGTGTTGTTTTTCTAAACATATTTACGTAGTATTTCTTTTTTTCTTATTTTAAATCTGTGAATCATATTTTCCTTACAACAACTGTCTTGTCAAATTAGATTATTAACTAGCAACATTTGGAATATATTTATACTTTTTCTATTCTAATAAAGGAAGAAGAAATTGCAAACCAACCCTTAGAAAAAATACATAATAGTTTCATCTTATCTACAAATATGACCAAATATGCCAAGCTTGTAGGCTACAGTGTATCTTATTTCAAAGATCCAAAGAAGGAATGCTATTTGATAAAAACATTTTCAAAAATTAAAGAAGTACTAGTATTTGTGAAAATGATATACTGGCATTACTGATTCAACCCAGATATTCAACAGATTCTGCCTGATTCAAGAATTCTGTAAAAGATGATTTATTCTTCTTTGGAGTGATTTTTATAAACATTCTAATAGAAGTATTTGTTTTAACTGCACCACTAATTCTTTGGGGAAGAACTTTTAGGGAAGACAGTAGAAAGTTATCCAGCCCTTATGATATTCTTCTATATGAATGCCTATTCACAATGGACATCATATCTGTCTCATGTATTCCATACTGAAATATCTACTAACTGAAGTTTGTACTAAATATTTTTATAAAAAGCAGGGCATATAACATTAAGAAAGCAACATTTTGCTATATATGTGTGTGAATTTATAAGATTTTTTAAACTGCCTCACTCCAGAGACTCTAAATAAGTTAAAAAACAACAACACAAGTATGTGTTTCTAGATATTAGAAGTACGCACCATCAAACAGAGTCGATCAAAGAGAGTTTGTTCCAAACCACTGTCATGTGCACTTTCAGACCCTTGAATGGTAGGTGGTAGCTGCTTAGGATCTCCAACAAGAATCAGCTTTTCACATTCAAAGCTATAAATGTAAAGACATTTCTGCCCATCATGTATTAATTTAAAAAATGGGAAACTTCCTTTCAGTAAAAGGCAGCTCATACATTATATAAACCATAGCATTGGGCAAAAAAATCCTAAAGACAAAAATAGAGACACCATGCCATACCTGTCAAATGCAAAACCACAATCTTCAGCTAGCTCTAGCTGTCTGACCAACTTCCTCTTGAAGCCTAACTGGTAATACAGAATTGAAACTATGCTGTATGCTATATGCCTGTTCACTTACTAATGCTTGCTACAGTTTAAACTCTTAGTATGCTCAGGACCACTATGCTAAAAACAGCTAATTATCTCTAAATTGCTTCATTCCTTCCACATCACAAAGTTCCAGCAGACTTGGAGTATGGTATCAAACTATTGTTAATGTAGAAGCCCAGATGAAAAGATATTAAAATACTACCTGTCCTTCGGTGTTTTATATTTTTCCAAGCAGCATATATAATCCTTAGCTAATGGATTACTTGTTCTCCATGCACCCAGTTCTAATCCCTTTGTTCTCCCTTTCTAAATTCCTTGGATAGTTTTAAGGTGCATGCAGAAAAGACTGGAAACTGGAAACTGGCCAGTATAATGTGTCTCTGTTGTATTATGCCCTTAACAAATACATACTGAACCTTGGGATCCATAAAGAACTAATCTACCTTAATCAGATGTTTTGGGGGAATAAGAATAGCCACTCCTCCAGATTTTGATGACCTAGCAGCTAAAAGCAAATTGCTTCAACAAGAGTCTTTGAATAAAATTCTGCTTCTAGAAATCTAGTTTCTCGAAGACAAATAATACCTTGCCAAACCCCAATTTTGGAATTGTAAGGGTTTCTCCCCTCTCTTGGCTGCCTTCACCATACTTGGAAGATTTCTTTCACTATTACAGTGTAAGTTTTCCAAAGAATATGTTGTATTTAGAACCTTGTAAATAAAGGAGATCAGCTTCACACAATCATTCATTGTACCCCCGCACCTCTACCCCATTTTGAGAATTTAATTACAAGGCTGGTCATTGAATTGTTGCCAATAATAAGAATTATATTACAGGTAGTGCTTGCTATCCACCCACAATAGGGACCAGAATTTAGGTTGCTAAGCAATTTGGTCGTTAAGCGAATTGGAGCAGATTTTACAACCATTTTTTTGATGGTTATTAAGTGAATCACCACAGTGGTTAAGCAAATCAGATGGTTGTTAAGTAAATCACGTGGTTGTTAAGCGAATCCAGCTTCCCCAATGGATTTTTTTTTGCTGGAATTCGCTTAATGACCATGTGATTCAATTAATGACCATGGTGATTCACTTAATGACTGTCGCAAAAAAGGTTACAAATTGTGATCACGTGACAGCAGGGGTCGTAAAGCATTTTTCACAAGGCTGTCATAACTCCAGGCCATCGTTAAATGAACGGTCATTAAGCAAGGACTACCTGTAGTTGGTTATAAGATGTTTTCCTGCTTGTATTCTTAAACTTACATCATAAATTAAAACAATCAGTACACCTGAATTTAACTACTAGTAGCAAATTAAAATGATGCCATACCTTGCAATAGGGAGCAGAGATGAAGGTTCTGTCATTTGACTACATTCATCTAGAATCACTATAGGAAACTTAAGATTTTTCATGCATGGAAATGAGCAGGCTGCACAGGTAGATCCCACTACCCTCACCTGCATCATCAGAGGAAAAATAAAGCCATCTATACCTCTGTACAGATAATAAACCGTAAGTTGTACAATCAAAATTCAACTTATTTGGTTATTAAATGTATTTATATTCAGAAATGGTGCTACCAATTAAAAAAAATCAAATTTATAATAAAACATAATGAGTAAACATGACCCCATGATCCTGAATCTATTACCTGTGCCCCAAGTTTGCTTTTTTTTTTT